TTGTGTTGGAGATTTGAAGCCGTGGCTCCGCAGAAATTCGCTTAGCCACTTCGCTTCCGATTCCGTTTACATCTATTATGACCCAAACTAGTTGCGAATGTTCGCAAAATGGCGAAGGTTTTTATTTTTCTGGCCGAGCTATACATATACGCTAGAGGAATGCAAAGTAAAAGAACTATAAATTTATTCTACATTAACAATAATTAATGCGCTTTACGCCTTATAACATGAGGATTAAGAATTATGACGCCTGTTTAAACCACAGCGCGTTTAAAGTGATATACTATCGCAAATGACGGTCATGTAATATGAAGTACGCACTATTATCTTAATCCGCTTGCTATTAAAATAACGCTAATTATAACATAATTTACAATGTCTCTTTTATTAATTACACTAGGGAAGAAGCAGTCTATATGGATGTTTCTTAGAAGAAACATATGGCAATGTTACAATCAATGTTAACCTAAATGTTATATTCTGAAATCGAAGTGTACTGTTCCTTACAAGCGCAGTTTTAATGCATTTTAAAATAAATCATATTCACGCATTGTCAACAGTTTTGTATAGAAAAGTACACTTTTATATTCTACACTAAGCCGTACGACACTAATACATTATTGTTTAGAAGAATTACAACCCATGTTTCTGTTTCGTCTTCGCTAAGATATGTTCAGCCTTAAGAATTTTACAAGCTACTCATAACATAACATCGTTTGTAAAAAGGTACTTTATAGAACTTATAGAATGAAATAATTTGAATGTAATTTTGATGTAGTGAGTTTTGTTTGTATAGCTATTTCTTAATATGCATGCATGTAGGTAAAAAAAAAAATCAAACTAGAAATGATTTTTGCATGCCTATGGGTAGCATAACGCACTAAAAATATAGAATCACATATGCATTTTAAGACAATAATTGCAATACTAAGGGCAAAAATAGATTTGAAAATAATTTGCCAGACCATATTTACCACTTTAAAACAGTAACCTTCTTTAATTGGCGAAATAAATGACAAAGTATCACTTCAATGATAGGCACTAAAATGTGAATACACCTAATAAATTCTAATCCTAAAAAAACCTAAAAAATCCTATTATGTTTGACAAAAATTACTGAGTATGAGGAAGATAGCTATATATTGTGGAAGTGGGATAGTATTCTACAAGTTTTTTATATTTAACGGCACAATGACATATCAAAAAATTACGTGTAACTTTATGTACAATTAATATTTATATAATTTAATGGTTAAACGACTGGACAACCCGGTTGTATTGGCATTTGTCAAGTATTGTCTCTTTCCTAAATAATATCAAGTTATAAACGGCATTTTCTTTTTATTAACAAGTCTTATTGATATGCACTAGTTGTCACTAAGAGCTCAACATTGTGGCAAGATAAATCTTGTCTTCAACATTTGTACATTTTTGACTGTCTAGTAGTAGTATTCATTGCTTAATTTCGTGTTATTGCTTTAAAATATTTAGTTAAATATATTTTTTCTACAAAGACAAATATGCTATATGTAAATAGGATATGTGATGTTAGATGTTTATAGTTAGCTGGTCAACTAGCTAAATAACTGACCGATCAAATCTTTAGATTGCGACATCATGAAATGGAATGCAAGTACATTTTTAACTTTTCTGTTATCATGTAATACAACATAATATTACGTTTATATTTTATATTTTTGTATTAAATAACATTTTTTAATTCTCTATTTTCGTGTTTGATGCGGTTATCACTAGAATAAAAAAAATACAAGAAAACATATTTGAAATGAAATCTCTTTTGTTCTTCACATTAATACACATATTAATGACTGGAGCAATTATTCATAGATTTATTGTACTAAAAAACTAAAACTAAATTCATTAATTAATACAAAAGTTCAGTAAGAATTTACGTACGAGGGAATGTCAAAAATGGAGAGGAGCTGGAAATTTGTTCATGCAAGAAATTGTCATGACACTAATTTTATAATTTATAGTTATAATTATAAATTAATAACGAATACTACGTTTGGATGAAATTAAAACAGAACTATCACGGCAACCTCACCCAGTTACCCCGGGTCCCACCGTCAGCATGAAAGCGGAAGCCAACCATTGGCATTCAGAAGAAATACTACCAGTGGACTATAAGGAAATATAATTTGGATTAAAAAAAAAATAATTGATAGAATCATTACTTTGCGGAAATCCATTAATAAAAAATTTTTTCGCAACGGGTTGTCCAGGTAAGAAAGAGACAGGTTTTTATGTTTAGCGGAAAGTTACAAAGAAATTTATATTTTTATTTTTTAAAAAAAAATAAAAAAGCTGTATTATGGAACAAGCATTTCATTAATAATAAATAATTTAGTAACAGTTCAAACTAATAATAGTGTTGTATTACATAGCTCCTTTCTTATAAGAAAGACTGTTCCATTTGATATTTTATGTTTAAAATCGAATAGTAAAACTTGTTTGCTCCAAATCATTAATTCTCAATAAGCAAGCCTCCTTTGATTTATATTTCTTATAAATTTTATCTTAGTTTTTGTAATATTCCTCATTTACTACTAAGAAGTTGAAGGTTGTTTGTTTTGAACAATCTTACATTTTATTTCGCTCTTTATGGACTGCCTCTATGCTATTTTTCTAAGATATGAACACAACGCAAGAACACCTTATTTATCGAATTATCAAAATTAATACATTTCTTCATACAAGTTCGTATGACTGATGGATGGATAGTAACTCAATATTGTTTTATTGTTACTAATTTATTTTTTTCGCAATTAATTTTGACTAAATTTAATTGAGTATCAGGTTTGCTTTAACAAGCTCAGTCAATTTTATTCTTTGGTACACTTGTATTGGCAAGTCATTTAACAAATCATTATTCGTTAATTAATCATCAATTTGTAATATATATATATATATATATATATATATATATATATTTATATATATATATATATATATATATATATATATAGTGATACACATATTATATAAATACAATAATAGGCATAATATTTCTAATGCACGGAGGGACGAGTAATAAATATTCATTTTATCAATATTAAATGTTCAGATTTTAATTACCGTCATGAGTAAATAAAAAATTACTAATATAGCTTTACATACGTTTTTTTAAAGAATATTAACAATGCTATAAACTAATACTATTAACCACTCGTGGTAAGCTTAAATTGCTTGTGTTACGAGCGGTTCACGCCAGTAGTCAAACGGCGGATTCGAACCCACGACCTTGTTGAGTTAGCGGTCCGCGCCCTGCCATTAGGCTACTGTCGCTTCAAACGTTTAAAACACATTTCAAACTAATTAGCTCTTTTTAAAAGTCTGTTTTTAAGTTGCTATAAACGAAAAATCTGGTCTTAAGTCATGTTCGGTTTACTTGTCCCACCTATACCGTTAGTTGGGTAAACTAGGTAAAGTTGTTGTCAAATTTGTATACATGAGTCAAAATGTTCGAAGAACTCGCAGTCCAGCTATTTTCTAGTGCATCTCAAAAGAAATACACTTATTTGTTTTTAGGCAATAACTCTTATACTATTAAAATTTTAATATTTTTCAGTAAGGAGATGATATAAAAATGAATTTTAATTAAATAATATTATAAAATGACAGAGCCTCTTATATAAAGGAAAAGAAACGGTTAAGGACTTATCATCTTGAATTTCTAATGCGTGATTTTATACAGTTCCTTTCCTATTGTATAGTAATTCTATAATATTATAACAAACAGATTTCGTTTCAATTTGCCATAATTTTACATCAAATCACTATAAAAATTAAAAAGTTAACGCCTGTAAGAATATCTGTCAGGGCATGAACGAGAAGAAATAATGATATCCTCTCTAAGCCAATTTCACTCAACTAATGATTGCACAATACTAATAATTTCGTACAAGTTTATACTACTAGCCTTTTTTATAGATTATATGAGCACACAGACCACCTGATAGTAATTCGATGCCGTGACCCATAGACATCTACATCTATCCTCGAATAAGAATCAAAATTCAGATATATCGTCACCCCTGAGGACTAAGATGGAGTGCCTAGTATTTAATAAAAAGGGTCTCCAATTCTCTTCACTTACCATATGAAACTCAGCAGCATTGAGCTGCTATTTTACGCTGGTATTCTGTGAGGCCCATTCAAGTTCAAAACCACTCAATCGTGCTACAACCATAATATAGTTGCAGTATGGCTCTACCACAAATAAAATTGCCTTTAAAAATAGAAACCTTTAAACCGATTCTATGTTAATTGCTGTCCAATACTAACATTCTTATCCTTGTATATTTTCTATTTTCCTTTCTATTCTTTACATTTTGTCAAGTTCAGCTTCGTAACCTAACGACTGGACTAAAGAATTGGTTTCAAACAATTTCACAAAATCATATACTGGGTGTTAGTGGAAACACTGTTATCCTTGAAACCAGTGGTTTGGTTTCACTTATAGCACGTAAATTCAATTAAAAATAACATTTTTTTTTTTGTAAAATCTCAATTTTTCCTTAATTCCTCAATTTTTGTCTGTCTGGTCTGTCTTAAGCCAGGATGAAAGTATGAAGGAAAAGTTACATCACAGGTTATGTGTACCTATTGTTTTTTTATTGGAATGTTGTGTAGGTAGCTAGGGCGGGCGGTGATCTTTACAGCGATTACGTCACTCGGGCGCATAGGTTATCCATGAATTTACGGACGGTGTCGGACAGAAACTTTTTAAATTTTATGAAAAAAATAGCATTTTTTTTAAAGTCGGATAAATATTTTTATATTAAAGCCAACCACCTATGGTTTTAGTGACAACGGTGTTTACACTAACACCTTGTATATATATATATATATATATTTTTTTAATATATAACATTGTTTGTTGGTTCACACAAACATTTCTGGAAAAAAATATGAAATAAATTCACTTTATATGCGTTTAAAAAGGTACTTGTGTCAGTAATTCTCGTTTAAATTTCCTATCGTTTATACAGGGACAATGCAGTCGCGGCTATGGCAAACAGACCACAGAGAACGCAACTAAGGATGTCACCAAGTTCACCCATTCCTTTGACTACAGCTCCTCCCATGTAAGCGACAGAGAGTATTAAACCGTGGGCAGTGCATCTGTAGGAAGTATACAATAACATTATTTAAATGTTAAGTAATCAAAAAACAAAGATTATTTTAAAAATAATATAGTTACCTTAAATTTGCGGGGTATGAATCCACGACATCGAGTCCTACGTTATAAAATATGAGAGTCAGAAAAAATCTGAATGCTGCTTCTACAATATACAGCATTGTCTCGTCTCGCGCCAAATAGAGAGTTGGTGACAGTAATATACACGCCGCACATAGGAAAACTAAAACAATGAACAAGTTTATAATAAAACAATTTTAATGTCATCAATGTATATATTATATACAACATGTAACATAATTATCGCACATCCTGGAAGTAGTTTGCTCAGAATCGTTTACTTAATCGATTCCTACCATTTTTAATATAGGTAATTTTTTATCCCAAAAATAATTAAAACTACGTAAATTACAGTCACACTAAATCTGTACAGTCAAAACAAACTGAAATGGACCGTAACTTAAGCCAATAAGACTTTTATGAGTGCAGTTTTATTTGTATTATTACCAATTCATTCAATCAAAATAAAGAATAATGAACTTTATTTCAAGCACCTTAAAGTCTTTGCGTTCGTGGATTTGTACTGTGACCACAATATTCTTCAAAAATGTTTAATTAAAAATTCAGTGTATGTATTATGATTATAACATAATATGCTAATTGGGGTGTCTGAGGGTGTGCGTTAATTACGTTACATATTGTATATATAATGTGTCTGGTCATCGGTGTCGGAGACTGTTGTGTCAAGGTTGTGGAAGCGCTTTGTGCCAAACCCGATCGAAGGCCTTCGCTATGTCCAAACTAACGGCCAACGCCTCCCTCTTGGACTCTACTGCCTCCGCCCATTTATGAGTTAGGTAACCCAGAAGATCACCAGCCGAGTGACCGCGACGGAAACCGTACTGGCGGTCACTTATCAGCTGGTGATCCTCAAGGTACCGCATGAGCTGGCTGTTAATAATGGATTCCATTATTTTAGAGAACAAGGAGGTGATGGCGATAGGGCTATAGTTGGACGGATCAAAGCGGTTACCTTTTTTAGGGATCGAGTGCGCGAAGGCTGTCTTCCATGAATTCGGGACTTCGCCTAGGGAGTAGGAGTACCGGAAAAGATACGTTAAAACCGATGCCAACTCTGGAGCACATGTCTTCAGCAGAATAGGAGGGACACCATCAGGCCCACTCGACTTCTTGACGTCCAGGGAGAGGAGTGCTCTGCACACCGAGCGTTGGGTAAACAGCATATCCAGTACTGATACTGATACCGCGGGATGGTCGGCGGTGTGTTCCCCCATAGAATACTATAATACACAATAGAATGGGTGTGAACCTTATTTTGTACGAGGATCGGCGTCACCGGGAGCACACATACAAGCAAAAGTAATTACGTCGTATTATCAGTTATCACTATTTACAAACACATTTTAGACTTTTGATTAATGTTTTTGACACAAATATTTCTTTATATTTGTTTCTAATATTCACAAAATATAAATAGTTTCGGCTTACTGGTTGCAGAATATGTTTCCTTTAATTAAAATCCATTTCCCGTTGTTCTTTCGACACGTAATTATTGCACAATTCGCCATTTTTTAAATAATTTGCATGCAGCAACGCTTGACACGAAAATTGGAAACGATTGATGACATGTTAGTGGCTACACGGGCTGCGCCCACTCACCTGTTCTATTATGTATGTAATACAGTATTGTTTGACTAAATAATGTATTTGCTGAAATAATACTAGTTTTTACGGAATTTATCGCGTATATTTAACTTTTTAAATACCCGACGTTTCGAGAGCTTTACAGCACCCATGGTCACGGGAAGGACTGAGATGTTCAACGTCCAGATGTCATAGTTAACCGTGGTTACCATAGATTAAAATTTAACTTTTGTTCCGATCTACATAGTATGAACTTATGGTATCATGAAGTCTTGCAGTTGTATGCTTGGGTTGGGATTTAATTAACTAGTAACTAGTATTATTTCAATGTGTAGTGTTCGCGTAAATATAAGAAATCATAATGTATTTGTTTATTACGCTCACATTCCTTGTATGCAGTATAGTGTCCAATAGATCGTTGAACAGAGCATACGTGTTGAGTTTTATTTTACTATCCCAAGCCAATTGACAACCTTATTCAAATCTACAGTATTCTATGGTTCCCCCCGTCATCAAAAGTCGAGTTGGACGCAAAGAGAGAGCCCAGCAGATTGGCTTTGTCCTTTGCGGCATGGTCCAGTGAATCGTCCTCCCTGTGCAGAAATGGGAAAGACGGCTGACAGAAGTTCCCTCAGACAGCCTTGGCGAGAGACCAGAATGCACGTATTCCCGAAGGTATTATGCTCGAGCCCAGGCCTGGTAGCAATTTTGCTTATAGACCTAATGCAATTTTGCATGAGCGACCAAACCATGGCTGGGTTTTGCCTCCGATAGGTACCACAGATTATAGAATAAATAGTTATATTCCCTGTAGCACCACATCAGCGACAGAATCAGCAACAACGCTAGGATCATCTGGCGAGAAACAAACCCACCTCCAAGGGTAGGGTGCAAAAAAAGATCGCATCCCGTCCTAATCAACTGACCTATAATGCCAAACACAGCGGCAACCTTCATTGCGCAACCGCGATGAGAGCGTGAGTGGCCGCCGTGAAAAAGGCCTCCGGCCACCTGCACTCTTTACCTCTACTTCACGTTGGTCTTCTGTGGTCGTGTTACCATCCCGGTTTGAGCCGGCCTATACGTGCAACAGCAAAGGTTGCCGCGTGGCGTTACCACAGTTAAACTTATCACTCTACGATTCATTTAAAACACTTTTTGAAAATGGGTGTAATACCCTATTTTAAGATGCCGTTAATTCTTGTGCTGTCTCAATCCCTCTATCTGAATTTGATTCTTAATTGAGGATAGATGTAGATGTCTACGGGCCGCAGCATCCACTTACCATCAGGTGGACTGTATGCTTGTTTGTCATCCTTATTCTATAAAAAAATTGATCTCAGCAAAGTCAAAGTGAGTGTGATACCACGAGACTTAGTGACATTTATAAAATTGAGTAGCGTTTGAGTTGTTGGCCATAAAGAAGTTTTTAGTTAAAAGAGTGTGTGTGTATTGGTGTGTGGTATGTGGGTGTGTGTGGTGCGGGCGTGCCGCGTGGCGGTGTGCGATGTGCATACGTACCGGCGGGACGGAGGCGCAGGCCCTTGTGGTAGGGCAGCAGCGCGGCGCGCGCGGAATGCGCCTTTTGGGGGCGGGCGCGCGCGACATGCGCCTGCTCGGCGCGCAGCTCAGCCAGTCGCGAGCGCAGATGAGTGTATGTGGTGCGGGTGTACGGTGTGCATACGTACCGGCGGGGCGGAGGCGCAGGCGCTTGGGGTAGGGCAGCAGCGCGGCGGCCGCGGCCAGCAGCGGGGCGGAGGCAGCCAGCAGCGCGGCGCGCGCGGCATGCGCTTGCTCGGCGCGCAGCCCAGCCAGTCGCAAGCGCAGATGAGTGTGTGTGGTGCGGGTGTGCGGTGTGCATACGTACCGGCGGGGCGGAGACGCAGGCGCTTGGGGTAGAGCAGCAGCGCGGCGGCGGCGGCCAGCAGCGCGGCGCGCGCGGCATGCGCTTGCTCGGCGCGCAGCCCAGCCAGTTGCGAGCGCAGATAAGTGTGTGTGGTGCGGTGTACGGTGTGCATACGTACCGGCGGGGCGGAGCCGCAGGCGCTTGGGGTAGGGCAGCAGCGCGGCGGCGGCAGACAGCAGAGCGGCGCGCGCGGCGTGCGCCTGCTCAGCGCGCAGCCCGGCCAGCCGCGAGCGCAGATCGGCGCGCCGCGCGCAGCCGCCGCGTATACCGCGCACCACACTGCCAGACAGCCCGCACCCCACCAACTCGCGCCCCACCTCCATGTCCGTGTCGATTATACTGCGCACAACACAATACGCTACACTATAGTCAACCAAATCTAAGAAATACATTTTGACAGCTGTCAGAATTATTGCACCATGCATGCCAAACAAAAAATCGGAACGTACAATATTCGATTCTTAAAAAAATCGATATCGATTATTTATAGTTGGTAATCATTTACAGTTTGGTATGAATACCCCAATAAATTAAAAACAGATAAATTATAGCACAAGATTTATCAGTTTCTTCGTATTTGTTGTTACTGTTTATTTCTAGAGGCACACACACAGTTATAAAAACAGTTATAAAAATTTAAGATTGAAACTAGATTAAAAATAAATTTATTCAATCATTTTCAGTATAACTAGTAGGGATGTCGTTGTTTACATTAATTATTATTTGATTTTCAATAACGCAGTCAAAATTAATGTCTCTTTCAAAGTCATCCATAATCATTTTTTGTTTTACCTACCTACCACTTTTGCTCAATCATCCTTTGTGACATGGGCACATGCTTCAACGAATTTTTTTTATAGCATTGGGTGATAAACGAGCACACAGTCCACCTGATGGTAAGTTGATGCTATGGCCCTTAGACATACACATTTATCCTCAATCAATCAAAATGCAAATGCGTTGTCACCCCTGAGCACTAAGATGGAATGCCTCGATTCCAGTAAAAAGGGTCTCCGGTTCTCTACACTCACCATATGAAACACATCAGCATTACGCTGCTATTTTACGCTGGTATTCTGTGAGAGCGTGGTCCTGTCCTGGTTGAGCTGACCCATTCGTGGAACAACTATAGCATAGATGTAGCGTGGCTCTACCACGTACAAAAAGTTATTATAGAAGAAACAGTCCAAAAAGTTAAAGCCGAGTCACAAAATAAGAAGACAAACACAAAATTACGCTCAGTAAGCTCTCGAAACAGAAACAGAAAAGAAACTTTTTTTTATTAAATATAGATTATGAATAATACTTATTGAAAGTCACTTTTTTCATTTACCACTGGTTCGCAAAAAAAAAACCTCTGTCCTGAGAAGAACCAGCAAGAAACCCAACGGGACTAGTTTAAAAAAAAGAGCTTACAATCATGCGTGTTACAATTAGCAATAAAAAACAAATTGGAAATAGCTTGGTAGCGATCACCCTTCCCAGGGGTTATTATCATCCAAAAATTCCTCAACATTAAAACAACCCTTTTTATACAACGTCGTCAAAAAACGTCAAATTTTGTATATTTTCTGGCATTTTGTTATAAAAGCGTATACATCGCCTCAAAAATGAATTACTCATTCTGTGGAGTCGAGTAACTGATAACGAATTGGCGGGATATTGAAATTATGTAGTGGTTATTTTAGCACGGACTTGTATATGAGTTTTTTTCCTACAAAAATTTACTTTGACAAACTGAAAAAAATAAACTTGTTTTATTCATGATTCATGTAATTTAAGGAATTTTGAAAATAAAAATTAAATTAAACAAATAATACATTAAAGAAATTAATGATTCAATTATTAGAATATTTTTACCGATTATTTAATTATTTTGCCGATTATTCGCATAACAATGAATTTTAATCATCCAAACACTACGGTAGTATACATAGCGACATGTCATTGAAACGACGTCAAGTAAAAAAAAAAAATAATACCGGTTATTTTTTTATATTTTCCTTTGTTTGAAAAATTCAAAAAACTATACAGGTTGTAATGAAATACAGATAACTTCATAATTCTTCGTATTTACGCAAAAGGTTATTTTAAATCGTGTGAGTACGCTTGTGCAAAGTTATTGCGGAATGATTTATTGATATAAATAAGGAATGAGTGATAAGATTAATGTGAACGTCAAAAGGTATTTCTTAGATTTGGTTGACTAAATACTACAACACATACATCACAGACGCGCGTCAATTATGTAAAAGCAGGATCCTCTAACACAGGTATTAATATACTTAAAAAGAAACCCCAGCCTAGTCATAGACGACTTAAATAAAAAAAGTAATTAAAATCTATCGATATTCAAATCATATCCACCCTACTTTACGAACGGCAATAAAACAATAAATTTAGTAGGCATCTGACCTTGTTACATCTCAGGGTCACAGGCTCAAGGACAAAGGGCAAAGTAATTTTGTTGCTATAAAAAAAATTATTTTCAATTGTTCCAAAATTTATTTTCAAATGTTTAATTCAAAATTTTTGTTTTTATATATATTTTTAATATCAGTACCATAGGCTTCTACTCCATTCATTTGTTACGTAGTATTTTTTTCCACACAAAGTTAATAAATTTATAACATAATATTAACACACGCCTGTCACCCAGAAGGGGAAGACAGATACTACGGACTTCCATTTGGCACGATCCTGACATACCTCTCTCGCCTCCTATACACCCATATATCTATGTGGCCCCATTTTCAAAATATCGCCAATTTGGTCGATGAAGGTCCTTCTAGGGCGTCCCTTCCCGACTCTGCCATTCACATCTGCAATATAAATTTGCTTTGTCACTCTTTCCTCGTTCATTCTTTCTAGATGCCCAAACCACCGAAGCATTCCTTTCTTAATCCTGGTCACAACATTATCTTGCACACCACATTTTACTCTTATCACGCAATATCTCACTCTGTAATTCAGATTCAGCCCAGCATACTCCTTAAAGACCGCAACATTTATTGTACTTTCGTGCTTCTTCTGCCATACCCTACCATACATTAAAGTAGGGATTAACACAGCACTATGAGTTACCATACGTGCCTTTTTTGACACATTCTTATTCTTCATAATAGAGTGTAGAGCTCCATTCACTCCATTTCCTGCATTCACTCGTCGTTATATATCCTTATCATATCTACCGTCCCTGCTAAATACACATCCGAAATACACGAACTCATCTTGCTAAACCAACTCCCCTTCTATTCTTATTTCACATAAAATTTTTCATTCTTCTCTTTTGAAAACCATCACTTTCGTCTTACTTGCATTCACTTCCATTCCCCTTTCTTTTAATGACCAGTTCATTATTGTAACCATCATTTACAACTCGGCCGCCGACGACGCAAATATGACTTGATCATCGGCGTACAAAAGGCTTTTTACGGTTAACTCGCCCATTCTTAATCCGCATTCTTCAACCAGTTGCGCGTGGGCGCTCGCTGTAGCTTGACGCGTTGATCTACCGTTCGATTACATACTGTCCCTAGTTCTAGCAACGTTCTTTTGTAGACCATGTTAACAGTAAGGTCATTTAATTATGATTAGTAACACTATGTTGAATTCAATCTAATAAGTAACACTATGTCAAAGTGAGATTGATGTGGAAAGTAGTGTATTTAACGAAAGCAATGAAAGGGAGATTACAGTGATCATGGAGGATATTTCACAGATGTGTAGTACGGAAGATAGGAATGACATGTTCTTAGGGAGACCCTCAAAAAAGCGAAAGACAAATAGATATAATGAATGTACAGAGGATAATGTACTTACAAGAATTACGGAGGATAAAATTGAAGTATGTTTGACATGCACAGATAAACTTCCGAAACAATTTGGATTGGCAAAAATGTTAAAAGCAGAAAGTATTAAAAACGTCACGAAAATTAAGTACATAAATGCATTTAAGTTATTGATTCATTTTAATAGCGAAGAAAGTGCTGAATCTTTTGTACAGTGCAAGAGATTTAACGAGAATGGTTTTAAATGCCAAAAAACTTTGGAAATTAGTCAATCATACGGGGTCATAAAAGATATTGATCTAGAATTGAGCGAAGAAGAGATATTACTAGGACTTTTATGACGGTCATTGGGAACATAGCGAGTCTGTAAGAATATGTTTTAAGGGATCGTCATTACCAACGTATGTTTACATCTATGACACTAGGGTAAAAGTGAGTCCTTACACATACCCAGTGACGCAATGCTCCCGTTGTTGGCGATTTGGTCACTCAATTAGAATGTGCCCTTCTCTAAAAGTAATTTGTCCTAAATGTACAAAAAGTCATCCTAACTGTGAAACGACAACTTTCAAATGTAATAACTGTAAGGGAAAACTCATGGCAATGGCTAAAATTTGCCCTGTTTTCTTGAAAGAGAAACGAATTAGAGAACTCATGGCGGAATTTAACTGTTCCTACAAAAAAAGCCCTTATGATATATGTCCCGCCGTCACCTCGACCACCGATTACGAAAAATGACCCACCTCTACTTACACAACCAACATCTGAAAATGAATCATCACAACAAGATAAGCAGATTCCCGGGCCTAGTGATGTGTATACCTACGCTAGTGTAACACCCCCGGAAGAAACGAGAAAGAGCTCGAAGTCAGAGAAACGACGGAATAGAAGAAGGGCCCTCAAAGAACAGGAACAAAATATACCTGAATTTTTTTGCGAAGTTAGTGAAGAAGAAAGCAGATTGGACGACAAGCTAAGTGATGAGAATCGATCGAAAAATAAAGAACAATTGTCTTGGAAATTATTTCTTAAAAAATTAAAAGAGAAGATATTTGAAGAGGAAAGTATCTCGTGCGAAAAATAAGATAAAAGGCTGTGGAAATATAATATTGGAGGCGTTAATATCATTAGTGTTGCAGTTTATTGCAGATCAACCTTGTTGCAATTTTGTAAAACAATTATGGATAACAACAACTCACAAACCTACGTAAATGTGATACATTGGAATGCGCAAAGCATTCAACCTAAATGTACAGAGTTAAAAGTTTTATTAACTCAAGAAAAAATACACATAAGCGAAACTTGGTTAGACCCGGGTAGTCACTTTCACATTAGCCATTATAACGTCTTTAGAAGGGATCGTGCTGACGGATTTGGAGGCGTAGCTATATTGACTCACAGGTCAATTAAGGTACAAAAGCATAATGTTGAACTGCTAAATTCACAAATTGAGATCCTCCATATTAGAATTTTAAATTGTAAACATATAGAAAATGTATACTCCTTATACTGCCCACCATCCGCTCGTACCACCTTGAGAGACTGGGACCAAATCTTCAATCTTGCCAGACGAAAGACAATAATTGCAGGAGATCTTAATGGCCACTATACCAACTGGTCAAACAGAACGGACTCACGAGGTGATCAAATTTTGGATTCCATTTTAGACAACAATTTTGTTTCACTGAATGACGGCTGACATACTAGAATTAAACTGGTTAACAGCATAGTACAAAAATCTGCCCCTGACCTATCTCTAGCTTTTCTAGCTTCTCTCTCTAGTTTTGAAGTTCGACCGGATAGTACTAAATGAAAATTTGGGAAGTGACCATTTAATGATTAAGATAAAAACTAATATTGGCACATCCAATATCTATAAAAGAAAACGCAATTTTAAAAAGGCTGACTGGTTGCAGTATAAGACATATAGAGAGAAAGCTTGAAGGCTTTATATTACCAGATGATCACCAGTCTGCGTACGACGCTTTCATCGATATTATTAACGAGGCAGCTGATAAATCTATCCCGTTTATAAAAATATGTGAAAATCCTCTTCACCAACAAAGGTTCACTCCTAGACCTTATTGGAATCCGGATATTTCAAAAGCTGTAGCGGAACGACGTCGACCACTTGCTGTTTTTAGGAGAAACCCTACACCAGTAAATTTAGAAGCATTACAAAACAAGGTCAGGTTGGCACAAAAAATTATTCGTAGTAGTAAAAATAGGTCATGGCAAGGTTTCTGCGACAACATTGGCAGTGTGTCAACGTCAAGTGAAATGTGGGCTAAAATGAAGTGGCTGAAGGGGTGCAGGACAGCGAGAAGTAATATTACCCGCGAGTCAGCTGATTTCTTACTGTGTAGTTTAGCCCTTATTATGCAGATCCACCGGCTCCTGTGTTTAATAGCGAGAACGTACATCTATCTTTACCTGTTTCGGTTCATGAACTCGCAAACACAATTAAACAGTCTCAGTCAGTCAGTCAGTTTTTTATAAAAAAATATTGATAATCCTATTAATTAACATTACGAGTATTTCCTTTAACCGCTCCTGGTAAGCTTAAAACGCTTGTGTTAGGAGTGGTTCACGACAGTAGTCGAATGGTGGATTCGAACCCACGACCTTTTGAGTTCGCGGTCTGAGCCATGCCATTAGGCTACTGTCGCTAGTTTAGTGGTAGTTTAGTTAATTAAACATTGTAGACTTCATCATCATACATCTCTCGTTACATTTTGATTGTAGACCCGATTATTAAAGAAAGGCAAAGTCAAAAACACATAAAAATATCGCGTGAACAACTTACGTGCTATTAACGAAGACACACTCCTTGAAGATGGTGTAAGAAGACATGATGTTGGAGAAGGAGACGTTAGTGAAGGTACAATTGTCGAACTCAACGTGCGATATTATCATGTCGCGGAAGGTGCAGTCCCGGAAAGCGACCTCCACGTACTGCACGTTCTCGAGTGTCTCGTTGTAGTGTTCATTTACGAAGGATTCATTTACGACTAAACGCTTGGATGCTTCAAATTCTTCACTGTCAGTTATGAGCACCATTGCCGGAACGTATGACGATAAGTAATACTGAAAATTTAACAATTATAAAGTAATGTAGGCAAATATTTCTAATACAACTCATCACAAATCTACAGCTAATTGTAGGTCTTCCCCTCCATAGATTATTATAGGTCATGATCCTAAGCCCCCTTTTATCCATCGACCTCCAGCATGTTTCATGAAGTCATAACTCTATCTATTGGTGAGTCGCTCGAAACTGCGGCAGTTACTTTCTTCCCTATTTTACGAGTCACGACCCATGAAAAACCTCAAATACTCAGTGAGCTTATGGTAAGGAATATACTCGAAGTTTCTCTGTGTGATAAAATCCGCACCTTTTACAAATAATTAAAATAGTTCGATTTCAATGCCATGTGTGTTTAAGGTTGAAATTTAAAATTAGTGTTCTTTTTTGGACCAACTACAAAATAAAGTGCAAATATTTAATCTACGTTAATTACAAAAAATTCTTTATAACCATCCATTAATGTTTAAAATAATTGTTACAAAACAATACTATTATAGCATATCATTTATTAACTTTATTCGATAAAAAATTAATATTAACAATAACTATTTATTAAAATATGTACCCCTTTTTGGCCATCAGCACATTATGTAATTGTGAGGTTATAGCCTTAAGAGGAGTATTACTAAAAACGCGAAATTACAAGGTTCCTTCGTTGAAATTATATGTTTTCCGTTCGTTGCTTGAAATAACAATTACTTGGTAAAAATAGTTCGTTTTCTCTACTACAATAAGCTCAAGACAAATTTTAGATGTTAGCTTATTTATTTATTTATATTAACAACTTCAGTCGACTTGTCACGAAAGTGTTTCGGAGTACCAGCGATTATGTCGTAAGTATTTCGTTTTTTTTTTACTTAATTGTTAGATTATTGTACATCAAAATCAACTTTAGAATTTGTACTTTGTGATAATACCTAGGCGATAAAGTTTCACGTACTAAATCGGCTCTAATTTGAACTTCAAAATAATGTTGTTACCAAAACAATGACGTCTTTGTAATTCACAGTCGCTAGTCGTCTTGGTCTTGTTTATGATTGACTTACGTGTTATTCAGTGAAGTAATAGTGATTAAATTTCTAATAAACATACTCATAGACTTTTTTAGTTAAAAATATATTAAAATGTCAAAGGATTCACAATTAATTTCAATGTGTTCTTCAGGTTTTTTCGTATGGCTAGTGCGGTATCCAGGGACGTTACAAGTTATAAATAAGGGTCTCTGGAAACGAGGAAGTGTGTTTTCAATATTTAATACTGCTTGATGTTAGTGTTGTAATATATTGATTGCATTGATTCATTTTCACACTTGTTTCGTGTTTCGAAAATCGTATTTGCACACTTACTGTATTTGAAATTTTAATGTTTTTTGTATTTTTGGGTTATTTACCTTTTGTGATATTTTTTTTGTTTCTAATTATTTCAAAAGTCAACAATTTATTACTACTAATGCAACACATTACGAAGTTTTTGTTTCTCTTATAAAATTTATTTTGTTCAATACGATTTTTTTTCTTCGGGGACGACGATTTAGCAATTTTTTTTAATTTTATCGTTTTAAGCCAAAATTATAAATCATTAAAATATTTTATCACATATTCGTATTTTATTCAACCTTATTATGTATAGAAAGCCTTAGACGGATGGTCATCCTCTTCAAATTGAACGACGCGCGACAACTCGGCAATTGTCAAGAGGCCGCCGCAAAATTACAAGGAGAATGTATCTTAATTTGATTTAACTACTTAGAAATATTCAAATATCAAGATATTTGGATCATATTAAAGGGAAATGAATCTATTTTTTCTTTTTAGTATTGTATTGGTAAAAATTATTATATTTTCTGCTTACGAAACAAATTTATGGAGTTTTTTTATTTTTCACTCGGGAATTGACATTAACACGCTAGCTCAGAAAGAACAGCAAACAGGTTAAAACTTATTTTAAGTATAATAGATTATCACTATCGATTTTTCAAATAGATAAGTTCAATCTATAAACGTCTAGCTATTTTTCAATATTTTTATCTTTGCTGTAGCTATTATATTTTAGCTGTTACAAAGGTTTTTGTTACCGAGCAGCGGGGACAGATTCGCGCGGCTTGAGGCAGCGAGTAGTCGGACGTTTGACGCATATTTACCAGCGCAGGGCTGACGTTAGAGTGGATAATTCAATAAACAACCTAAAAAGCTTCGATACAAGCCCCAATATCACCGAAGTTCATTATTATTTTGACGTAAAATTCCATATCAAAATAGTCATCAATATTTGCTTAAACTATACTGTGATTATGATTTCTTAAATTTACGCGAACACTACACATTGAATAAAACTAAATTTACGGATTTTATCGCGTTTATTTCACTACTTTTACTTATTTTTTAATTCCCGACGTTTCGGGTGCTTTACAGCAACCATGGTCACGGGGGGGGACTGAGATGTTTGACGTCCCAATGTCATAGTTAGTCCGGCTACCTTCAGTTTTTGAATATTAATTTTTGGTCCGATTTACGCAAAACGAGCTTATAGTATCATGAAGTCTTGCAGTGGTATGCTTAGGTTTGGGTTTAATTTTGTTAATTATAGGATCCCAAGCAGGTGGCAGCACCCATCCATCTTCTCTATTGAAATTTGGATGTTTTTTAATTTCAATAGGCTCGCGTATCATCCTTGGTAGGAATCGGTGTTCTTTTGCGAGAATTTGTGGTTTATCAAAACGAATGTAATGGTGGGGACGATCTTGAACATGTTCGCAGACTGCAGACTTCCCGGAGCGTCGGTGCTTCACGTTAGCTATATGTTCTTTCACGCGGGTTTTTATGGATCTTTTTGTTTGAACTATGTAAGAGAGACCACATTCACAATCTAACTTGTACACTCCTGCATCTTGTAGAGGGATATTACACTTGACGGATGGTAAAAATTGACTAATCTTCTTCGGCGGCTTGTAGTATGTTTTAATAGAAGCTCGCTTCAAGATGTAGCCAACCTTGTCTGTGACTCCTCTGACATATGGTAGTACAGCAGGTACACGCTCGACTGTGGCCGGCTTCACTCGGTCACTGTGACGTAGGCGCGGGACCCGAAGCTTGTTGTCTTGCAATACTTGCTTGACGTGCTGAAGTTCGGCGGCCAGATGTTTTCTGTCACAGATCCCTCGTGCTCTCTGAAACAAAGATTTACCCACGGTAGCTAACTGTGAAGGATGATGGTGAGATTCACCATTTAAATATCGGTTGGTATGGGTCTTTTTTCTATACACAGTGTGACCAATTGTGTTATTAGGATTTCGAATGACTAAAACATCTAAGAAAGCTAAAGAATTATTTGCCTCTAACTCCATTGTGAATTGTATTTTAGAGTTTATAGAGTTAAGGTGGTTTAAAAATGCAGTTACTTTGTCAGATGGTAAAATTGTGAAAGTGTCGTCTACGTACCGCTTGTAGAATCTTGGATTTACAGGACCAGTAAGAAGGGCTTTCTCCTCGAAGTCCTCCATGAATATGTCAGCGACTATGGGAGATACAGGTGAGCCCATCGCCACACCATCTACTTGCTTGTAGAACTCTTCCTTCCACAATAGATAGCCAGATGTGAGGCAGTGTTTGAGTAATACTGCATATTCAGCAGGCATGTTATTATATTCTAGCTTCCTAGTTACAATTGATATGCAGTCTTCAATAGGTAGGCATGTGAATAGTGACTGAACATCAAAACTGACCATAGTTTCATTGTCAGCGAGATGTAGGTCTTTTATCTCACTAACAAAATGGTATGAATCCTTTGTGTGTGCTCTGGTATGTCCTCTCAGTGGTGACAGTACTTTTGCCAAGTGTTGTGCCAGCTTATAAGTTGGTGAATCGATCTGGCTCACTATAGGACGTAGTGGAGCGTTTGGTTTGTGTATCTTTGGTAACCCATTGTACTGGCTTGCTTTCCTTACTTTTTTTATTGCATCCTTCTTTCCAATTAACCGCAAAACAAACTTATGGCGCCATCTGTTGGCCCACAACAAAAGCGTCTGTAAAAGAAGTCGACGCGATCGATACGGAGATGTAATCGAGACTCAAGACGAACTGCATCGGTAATGGCTGTTCTTGTCTAAGCCTTCCAATATAAAAATTAATGTAAATAGCGTTAGTGAGTGTGCCGGGTCGACCCAGATGTGTGCATAGACTATATAATTACGTAGGAGTGTGGTCAAGGAAGACTGAAGCCTTCCACATCCGAAGATATCGTTGAAGCCAAGTTGGAGTTGATCGCCGCTGCCGCTAACCGTGAGTTTACCTATTTCATTTACCCTTCCTGGTGGGCCAGACTAATTTTCTCTCACTGTAGGTAAATTAAGTAGCAATTCCAAAATATATTTCTAATTACTTTTATTTCAAGTAAGAAGTGTCGCGATTACTACAAAATAGTTCAATCCGCGCATTTTTTTTTCTATTCTAACGTTTGAACATAGTGGTCCGTACGAGCGCGAATGTCCTATGGTATTTTGGGTTCAATTCATTCGAAAACTCCAAAATTACAGTTCATAGCAATTCAAATTAAAAAAAAAAACTTTTACAAATAAAACTTAAGTAAAGTACTTATTTCCTTGTCTTAATTTGAACGATATAATAAGAAACAACTTATTAAATTTACTTGATATAATTTAAAAATAGGCAGAATTATTCTCTGATATTGATTACATGAATTGTAATTCCTTTTGTAATAACTAAACACGGAGGTAGTAGGTTAAAAAATTTTGCACCACGTATTCAATACTGATCGTTGTTTCAATAGGCGTGGCACAATATATATATCTACCTATTAATAGCGACATTATTAGTTGGTTAAAAAATTAGGTTTGTTTTAAATTTACGGTTTTATTATTTATTATTTCAAACATAATGACAGATAAAACAAAGTCGAACGCTAGTGAATTTGAGAGACAACTCAAGTTGCTTACTATTCAAAGAGAATATGCATTTCGAGAAATTCAAATAATATATGATTT